GATCCATTAGACTTTTTATTTTCAAGAGTATAAATACTCTTTGTAAGGACAAAATATTGAGTCTTGATAATACTATTGCTATTGAATTTACTCAACCTGTGTGAGAGGGATTCTCATATGCTTTGGTTCTCTATCGAATTAAATTGACTTATTGAAGATTAATTGGTTTCATGACGTCTTCGTTATATATTAGTGAATTGGTATTCATAGGGTGAATGTTCTTATTCCAATAGTATTGGTGCCTCTAGGTAGGTTTTTATTGTGTCACCCTCATATCTGACTTGTTTTGGCTTTTCATGATTTGTTGTCAATCATGATATGGGTTGTGTAACCATATGATCATGAGATTCACATCACTTTATCTTTTCTCCAAAACAAATAGATATAAAAATCATTTATAAAAGTAATATAATACTTCTAAACAAATAGATATAAAAATACTTTGTGCAATCATTTATAAAAGTAATATAATACTTTTTTCTACATATAGTTTACACAAACTTTAAATCATTAATACCTGAGTGAATTAAGTTTAGAGATTCATTACTTTTTTTAATTATTTGAAAAAATAGATTTGTGAATTTTGATTCTATATAAATTCCATAATTATGATTTTTCTCAAAAATCATATAATTCATGGTTTATTAACTTTTGCACAGAATTATAATTCACATGACCTCAGATATCATGCTATACATCATACGACTAAAGCAAATAAAAATAAAAAATATTTTTATTTTTGTTCTTATCATTAGTTATAATAGTCATTACATTCATTTTAAAGAGGTCATCACATAAATACCATTTTCTTACAAACAAACCACTTTTATAAATTATAAATTTATCACTCTTAAAAATCATCTTAAAATTATTTTTGCTCAACAATGAGTCAAACACTAAGTTTTTTCTAATATCAGCAACATGTAATACATTTTTTAGGTTGAAATGCTTTTTGAAAGTCATCTTTATTATGACTTTTCCAACACCCAATACCTTGAAGGTTAATGAGTTCACCATATATAGGTTTTCTTCATCTACTTTTTGTAAGTGAAAAACATTCTCTTTTTAGCGTATACATGTTTGTAGCACCTATTTGAACCCACCATTGCTCTAAATTATTGATAAGGTTAACTTTGAAAATAACACAACACAAGTTCATATTTGAAACTTCATAAGTGAGGTGATTAACCTCGGTGATATTGGCTTTATCAATCCTTTTTGTATGGTTTCTTGCTTACCATTATTCTTGTAATCTTTAGCCAAATGTTCAGTCTTGTTGTAGATAAAACAGTTGCCATTAAACTTCTTGGCAATTCCTTCACCTTTCATAACAAACTTCCCTAAATTTTTATTGTAGGACTTTACTAGTTGTTCCACAATATTTTCTTTTAAAGCACTAGAGGAGTTGGTTTTCCTTTTAAATAATTTATTATCCTCTTTTATCCTTAACCTAAAAATAAAGTCTTCAATTCTCATCTCTTTGCTTTTATGCTTAAAATAGTCCTTAAAAGCTTTCTAAAATAATGATAATTTTTCAATGATTGCAACCACTTGGAAGGACTCGTTTAGAGATATACTTTTAGCATGTATATTATGCAAGATAAATAAAAACTCTTGAACTTGGCTCATTACGGTTCTTAAAGCGATCATCTTGAAATATATAAATTTAATGACTATGAATTTCTTCACACTAGAATCTTTAGTTTTGTACTTTTTATCTAGAGCTTTCCATAATGTTTTTGCACTCTTGATTGAACTATACACATTATATATTATGTTGTCCAACTCATTCAAGATGTAAGTTTTGCACATTGAATTAGTATAATTCCATGCATCCACAACCGCCATGGTAGTGGGGTTATATTTATTTTATAATGATTTTGGCATTTTTTTTGTTAAGAATTTTGTCAAGTTGAAGGTGGTCAAATAGAATAATATCTTTTATTGCAAACTCTTAAAATTCAATTCATTAGATTTTTCAGGTTTCTCACCATGCACCGCAGAAGGTGATGGTGGAACCCTCACTACGAAAATAGTACTTGCCGGAGCAACATTGGTTGGCACAACCAAATTGGATTTTTCAGGTTTCTCACCATGCACCGTAGAAGGTGATGGTGGAACCCTCACTACCAAAATAGTACTTGTCGGAGCAACATTGGTTGGCACAACCAAATCTTGAATAAAAAAATAAAAGACATAATATAATTCATAAAAAATAATAGCTAATAATATTTATAAATAAATATTTTGGCTCTACAATAAGCAGGTAATAAAATAAAAACTTGTAAAAGTGTAATTTTTTAGATAGAAATATTTAAACTATACAAGATAAAATCCACCATCATTTTTTTTTTGTTACTATGTTCAGCCCTATTTGGTTCACTGGGATTTATTCAATTATCCTTATTTCACATATAAATTATATCGTATGCAAAAGTAGTATAGTGTAAATATTACTTTCACTAAATAAGTTCTTAGAAAAGATTGAAGTGGTCATTAATTGTCCTATTTAAAATCCAATCTTTTTAGATAGAACAATAACATTTATGAGAACAAAATCAACAATATAACTTTGATGCCAATCTTATAGAGTGTAAGCAATATAGCATAAACTATCATAAACAAATCAATAATTTACTTATTGAAAAATATGAATCAATAAGATTTATGACATATATCAAACCATCCAAATAACATGAAAAATAATTTTAGAAGATAAACCATAATTTTAAAATAAAGATATATAGCAACCTTCTAAAATTAAACAAAAAGGAAAAAAATCATAACATACGAAAAGGTTATAGATTAAAACATATAGAAATAAAATTAAATCTATGTATGATAATATATTAACTTAAAAAGAAGTTAAATGATAACTTAAATTTTAAAAATGCTAAAAACCTTTTTTACAATTAATATATATAATAATTTTCATAATAATTTTTTTCTCACAAGATAAACTATAAAGTCTTAAGATTGTAAAGTCAAAGTTTGTAAACACAAACACTAGTGAACAATAATATTTAGTTTGCCATATCAAGGCATGTTAAACATAGAAAAATTTTCAAGTAAAGCCTATACTTCATACAAATTTAAATATACAAGCATGTAACATAATAATTCATGGAAAACATGTTTTTAACACAAATAAAAAATAAAATACTAGCATGCATACAAATCATATATCCAAACTTATAACTGATATTAATTTAAAGTCCTAGCATCCATACTAATAATAAAAATATACATGCTTAAATTTAAAAAAAATAGTGTAGTTACTTGTTGAAGCACTTTAAAACACAGTTATTAAACCCGAACCAGTCTAATGAGTCATCTCAGGACTCAGTCAACTCGGTTGTTGGATTGGTCCGAGTATGTTAAAAGACCGGCCGGTGCAACAACCCAACAAAACCTGATTGACTCAGTGGGTCGACCCATGACCCGGGCGACCTGGATGAACCCAAATGAGAGCCGATGTTTTTTTATTTCAATTGTGGTTTTTCTCTTATACCCATCTTTTTTCATATTTTTTTAGTAGGTTATTGATACTTCTTAAAGTTCACTATATTAATATTAGAAAAATATTTTATTTTTTCAATATGGGATTTGAAACCCTTTAGTATATATATTTCATGTTCCCAAGAAAAAGGTTATGTTTTTTCAATATGAGATTTGAAACCCTTTCGTATATATACTCTATATTCACAAGAAAAAAGTTGTGTTTTTTCAATGTAGGATTTGAAATTCTTTAGTATATATACTTCATGTTCTCATGAAAAAAGTTAGTTTTTCAATATGTGATTTGCAGCCCTTTCGTATATGTATTCTATGTTCACAAGGAAAAAGTTGTGTTTTCTTAATGTGGGATTTAAAACACTTTAGTATATATATTCTATGTTAAAAAAAAAGTTATGTGTTTTCAATGTGAGATAAAAAATATTTTGGTTTAAATACTTCAACTTAAATGGATAGAATAATATATTTTCAATGTGAGATTTGAAACTCTTTAATATATATACTCTATGTTCACAAGAAATAAGTTATTTTTCCAACATGGGATTTGAAGCTCATTAGTATATATATTCTATGTTCACAATAAAAAAAAGTTATATTTTTGCAATATAAGATAAAAAAATTTTGGTTTAAATACTTTAAATTTAAAGGATATCATAATAATTTTTCAATATGAAATTTGAAACTCTTTAAAATATATACTCTACATTCCTGAGAAAAAAGTTATTTTTTCAATGTGGGATTTGTAGCTTTTTGGTATATATACTCTATGTTCACAAGGAAGAAGTTATATTTTTTCAATGTGGGATTTTAAAACTTTTAATATATATAATATATGTTCCAAAAAAAAGTTATGTGTTTTCAGTATGGGATAAAAAATATTTTGATATAAATACTTCAACTTAAATGGATAGAATAATATATTTTCAATGTGAGATTTGAAACTCTTTAATATATATACTTTATATTCATAAGAAAGAAGTTATTTTTTGAATGTGGGATTTGAAACTCTTTAATATATATACTCTATATTCATAAAAAAAAATTATATTTTTTCAATATAAGATTTGAAACTTTTTTTATTTAAATACTTTAACTTAAAAAGATAACATATTATCTTTTCAATGTGAAATAAAATTTTTTTTAAAATATTATTTTAAACTTTATTATTTACAATAGATATAAGATATATTTACATGGATTTTTTTAAATTTTTTATATAAAATATAAAATTTTTAATTTTTTTAATTTTTCTGGATTTAACCATCAAAAAATTTGATTTCAAGTTTTAATTACCATTTTGTCTATAAAACTCAAATTTCAGAGCGCAAAAAATGTATGGATTTGTACTAGTTAAAATATGGAATTGTCCAGCCAGGAAAAAAAAAAAAAAATTCTGTCGCGTCGCGTTTCCACAAGTTAGGACAGGTCCTTTGTGGCCAAAATTGAGTGTCGCTCCTTTATCTATCTTAATCGGAAGATTTTTATGATTCTTCAACTATACACGTAGGATGAATCGAAAGGAAAAGCAGAACAATAAATATTAGCATACTGAACCTTCATTACAAACTAAATCCATTGTTTACAGGATCCATCAAAAGAATTAAAATCTTTATGGAGCTTCAAGAAATCACCTTATATGCCGTTCTTCTTGGTATAATTTCTCTCTTCCTGTCCACAAAATATGCCACGACAAACAAGAAAAAAGGCAAGATGCCACCAGAGCCAGCAGGGTCATGGCCAATTATCGGTCACCTGCATCTTCTTGGAGGAGCAAACCAGCTACTACATAGAGCATTTGGGGTGATGGCCGATAAGTACGGGCCAATCTTCTCTGTCTACCATGGAATTCGTAGAGTGCTGGTTGTGAGCAACTGCGAAATTGTGAAGGAATGTTTAGTTACCAACGACAAGGTTTTGGCTGCTCGCCCGAAATACTTGGCAGTAAAAATCATGGGCTACGACAATGCTATGCTCGGCTTTGCACCTTATGGGCAATATTGGAGTGATATGAGAAAGCTAACCATGGTTGAGCTTCTCTCAAACAGCAGGCTTGAGATGCTCAAGCATGTACGGGACACAGAAACTAAGTTGCTTCTGAAGGATTTACATGACAGATCAATAAAGAATGAAGGGCATGTTTTGGTGGAAATGAAGGAGAAGTTTGGGAACTTGACAATGAACATAATAGTAAGAATGCTTGCTGGGAAGCGATATTTTGGTACTGACACAAACGGGGATGAGGAGTCGGGGAGATTTCAAAAGGCTTTGGGAGATTTCTTCTATATAGTGGGTTTATTCTTGGTTTCAGATGCTGTTCCATTTCTTGGTTGGTTGGATTATGTTAGGGGATTTGCAGGCAAAATGAAGAGGACAGCAACGGAGATAGACCGTGTGTTTAGTAGCTGGGTGGAGGATCATCGACGAGACAGGCTCAATGGAAGCATCAAGGAGGAGGAGAGAGATTTCATTCATGTTCTGCTTTCTAACCTGGAAGACGGCAAGATTTCTACTGTTGACGCTGATACTGCAATTAAGGGCACTTGCTTGGTAAGTGTTTACGATTTCTGCCATTAAGTTCAATGATTTTATTCGTAGAAAACTAAAATTATTATTTTTAATATTAGAGATTAGAATCATACAAAAATATATAAAAACTTTAATTTGATTTAAAAAAAAAAACAATAATATGAAAAGCATTTTATAAAACAAAACCCACAACAACGCCAAACGGGAAAAGCAATTGAGCATACGGCGGTGGGGTTCGGCAGAAAACCCAGAAGAAGGCCATTAATTATAATAGTCACAACAAATTCACAGTAAAGACAGAAAGTAGGAAAACAAGGGCAAAGAAATTGAGAGCACTTCTTGGATTGAATCAGGAAGAAAGTAAAATGATCAAGTTAGACTAATCACCAAAACTCTAATAATGAACTCAAGAAATGAAATTTTTGAAGCCAGTGTCTGATGAAGGACAAGAAAGCAACATTATCTTTCTTTATGCAATAACATAAAAAACCAAGTTGAACTAACTACCATCTAGAAGGCCTGTTTCTAAATAGTAGGAGGGTAGGGCCAGGCCAGGCATTTTAGGTGATAATGAAAATTCAACTAATGGTGTTTGGTATTATAATAATTTTTATAGTTATAATTTAAAAAAATATTTTATAAAAAATATATTTAGTTGGAGTTGAGTTATTATTTATATATGTTTAGTTAAAACTATAATTGAAATTGAATAAAAAATTATTTAATATGTTTAGTTAAGAATGCTATTGAAATTAAAGTTATATATATTAGTATTAATGATTTTTAATTTAAATATTATAAATTTAACTATTGTAATTACATCATGAAATAAATAATACTTTATATAAAATATTTTTTATTATTCCATTAAACAATTTATAATTTGAGATTGCGATCAAATTTTGTAAATGGTACATGGTCAAGTATTTTTCATCTAATTTATATAGTATCATTAAATAACGTTAAATATTAATTTTTTGAATAAAATATAATAAAAAAATAAAAAAATTATATTATTGTGTCGGACCGGTTTAATGATTTTGAACTCTAAATAGGACCCAGTCCAGTTCGAATAGTAGAGCATACCTCCATTGTTTACGTGAATTTATTTAATGAATAATGTAGTATGTTTCATTATTCACCGGACAGTACAGCATAGTTCAACCACGCAGAGCAGCTCCCGGTTATTTTACTTCCCTTGTGTTTCAAATGTAAAAACACTTTGAGTATCATTAATAATAAACTATATTTTTTCTTTTATTAAATAGTTTGTATGTTTTAAACAAAACACATATTCAATTTCATTACCAAACGGCCTATAAAGCTGCTCACTATTACACTTCACAATTGATAACGAATCTCAGTGATCGACTGCGTCCTATGCAAACTAACAGATAATGTAACAGAAATGCTGTCAGCAGTGGATTAAAATAGTGATGAGAAAATATTGTCAACGTCTCTTTCTTTTATTTCATGGTTTTAGATTATCACGCAATCTTTATATTGTAGAGCCTCATTTTGGGTGGCCACGACACGACATTTGTGACTCTTACATGGGCACTATCTTTGATATTGAACAACCGCAACGTTCTTGAAAAGGCACAAGATGAGCTTGACATTCAAGTAGGAAAGCACCGGCAAGTTGACGAGACAGACATAAAGAGCCTTGTATACTTACAAGCCATTGTCAAGGAAACAATGAGACTATACCCTGCTGCCCCGCTTTCAGCACCAAGGCAAGCCATGGAGGATTGCACGGTAGCGGGCTTCCACATCCCAGCGGGCACACGCCTTTTGGTTAACCTGTGGAAGTTGCACCGCGATCCCAACATTTGGTCTAACCCATTGGAATTTCAGCCTGAGAGGTTCCTAAAGGAGCATGCCAATTTGGATGTGAGGGGTCAAGATTTTGAATACGTACCATTTGGGTCCGGAAGAAGAATGTGCCCAGGGATTTCCTTGGCGCTCCAGGTTTTGCACTTGTCACTGGCTCGACTGCTTCATGGTTTTGAAATGGGGACAGTTTCAGACGCTCTAATCGATATGAGTGAAGGCCCTGGAATCACTATCACCAAGGAAACACCATTGGAGGTCATCCTCCGCCCAAGGCTACACTCAAATCTATATGAATGTTAAGCAGCTGAAGATCTCTGGGTGATCACATGCTCAAGCTAGTAAGCTCAATTTACGTGCCCATTCAATTCATAGGATTGATGCATAAATAAATAATTCAAGTTCGTTTAACAATGCCATTTTCATTACATCTAGAGATTCCTATTTGCAAATATGATCTTATAGTATCAGCAGTGTAGTCCATTGTTCTTGAATCTTGTATTCCAGTTACTGTTATTCACGTTATGAAAAACTTGTAATCAGAGATAAAACTGCGTAATTAATGCGTAACATTCACCACAACATAATCTTGGTTGTTACGTAATGAGGATAGAAATGAGTTGTCAAGTCGGGCCTTATTTGCATTCCAAAGGGGTTCATCAACTTTATTACCACAGAACTGCTGGCATATATCTTGGGTAAGAGATCAAGCCACAAACTGTCGAGTGCAAACATGAGGTTTTTATATTAAAACATCCTAAAAATAAGGGATAATACCCCGAGTGTAATCGCTGAAAGCAAACAATTTTAACAGGTATGATAATTCATGTCATGACAGACACAAACATGCTCTGTTTGTCTCACTGCCATATCTCAAGGATGAGCTTGCCTGAAACCATCAGCGGCTATAGGCACACCTCTACAGTGAAGTTGCTCGTACCCTGTCGACTGGCTCCTTGGGGTGCATTTTCCAGTTAATGCCTGGCGCATACACCCTGTGCACGAACAACAAAATTCCAGCACGTATCCAACTGAATTGCAGGTTTGCCAGTGCCTTAGTCCTTCATCCAGCAGCAAGGGATCCACAGGTGACAACTCCATGCATATAATTTCAATGCTGGCCTCAGCCAATTGCATAACGCAGCCCTCTGGAGCAAAATCAGGAAACCATAGCATAAACCCCATGTTCATAAATCGACATCCTTGAAATACAACTAAAATTGAAAGGATAAGAGCCGCACAAAAACTATTTGTGCATTAAATGCTTTATCTTTTCGTTAAATTTGATAAAACATATACCATCATGATGATTTAATATCTGACTTTATTTCAGTATAATTCTTTCCAGATGATTGACATCATAACTTTTACGACACTGCTTTGAAAAGGCTATCTTAAAACTATCAAAATTTGACAATTAATATTTGACTTTATTTCAGTACAGTTCTTTCCATATGATTGACACCATAACTTTTACGACACGGCTTTAAAGAGGCTATCTTAAAACTATCAAAATTTGACAATTCATGGTAACCACTTAGAGCTAATAATTGAGATCTTTCCAAATTAAATCAAGAGTCAAGATTTGTCTCCAAGAAAGATAAAATGTTCATCTTTCACCTCCTACAAATAAAAGTGAATTCTAGGTATTGAAATAAAGGAAATTAGAGGTCAAACTTTAAAAAAGATTAGTTTTTTTCCTAATTTTTTCTTCTTCTCTCTGCTAATCTCTTTCTACTCTCTCTATTGCTTCTTCAGCGACCACCACCTCAGCACCACCGTGAACAACAATAGCCCAACCAACTCATCTTCTCACTAGCAATAAGAGCAGCCACCGTAAACTTCTTCCTCTTCGCCACAAGTTTCTTCTTCCAATAATAAAAACCACCCTCTTCACTGGCAGCAACTCCAACCCTATCGTGAGCCACCAACGCCTCTGCCATCCTCATGTCAGACTAGTGATGACAACCACACCCTCCACGCTAGGTAGTCTTCTTCTCTCCTTTTTCCTTTTCCCCATATCAATCATGGATATTGCATGCACAACGATAATTCATTCTGCATGCAGCATAATTAATTCACATGATCATTAGGCGAGGCTAGCTACCATGTGAGCCGAGCTAAACCCATTTCAGCCTAGTCTTTATGCTTAAACCGAGTCTAGCCCAATCAAAAAGAGAGATGGGTCTGTTGGGTTGTTAGTTGACCCTACTCAGTCTGACTAGTTCTAGCCCAGATGATTGACAGCTCGAGCCTTCTATATTTAATAATAATATAATAATATTAAAAATTAAAAATATATTAAAAAATCAAATTTTTCAAAAGGTATTTTAAAAACATTTGTGGGTCCCCTACATGTTTTTCTAATAATTTTAGATAATATTGAGTTGTATATTTACACTATAAAATACAAATCTAGTATTAAAAATACCTGATTTTCTTTTAAACCTTAAAAAAAAATTCAAAACTTTCAAAATCATTCAAGAAAAATATTTAAATTAATTTCTTCTTTCCAAAACAAAAATGTTTTTGTCTTTGTGCATATGGTCAAATCTTAAAACTTTTTCATGTATATTTTCTAAAAAGAGATAAAATCATTTTTATCATATTTAAAAAAATACAAAATGGATATCATAAAAAAAAATTTGATTATCCTATAGGGTTTGACCAAAATACAAAAAAAAAAACTTATAACAATTATTTTGTTATTCGAAAAGCTAGGACTTAGCTATATCCAAGAAATAAATAAGTGTGCCCCTTAGAATGGTAAGAATTTAATCTAATAAGATATAGACTTTCTCACGAAAGGAGATTTACCTTGACCTTTATATAAGATTTGTGCCCCTTAGAATGGTAAGAATTTAATCTAATAAGATATAGACTTTCTCACGAAAGGAGATTTACCTTGACCTTTATATAAGATTAATGTATAGAAACGCAACTTAAAATAACAATCAAACAACAATGCAACTTATCTTAAGTAGAATATATAGAGGATGATGCATCTTCCTCTTATACAACCATTTTCTTACCCGAACTCTTACAGATCATTAGGTTTCTGAGTGACCATAACTTTAGGTGGTGACTTCTAAACCTTATAATCATAATTTCATAATTAAACTCAAAACCTTTTTTCCTTTTAACACATCTCAGGAGGAAGACTCATCATTCAACATTGTGCACATTGTGACAACCATGACTGGCATTTGAAAGTCAGATGAGGATGAGTAATCTCCTCATCATTTTTTGGAATAAGTTATCGAATGAAATCTAGACTTCAATTGCATGCTTGGATTTGAGTCTTATGGTGGAATCTTAATCCTTTTTTGCAAATTTAAAAAGGGAGAGTTTTCAAACTGATATTTTAAGGTAATTACTTTCTTTCTTTTCTCTTCTAGAGGATTTTCTTAGTGGAAAGACCAATTTGGACTTCCTAAACCAAGTCCTTAAACAAGTGGCTAACAAAGCATCCACTTCATCATCTTAAGAATTGATTAGAGAATTGTTTTCATGCTCTATTTTTTCTATTTTGAATAGTATATCTATTGACTCGAGAGATGAGAGGAAAAGAGTATCCTATCAGGCATGCTAGAAATTTGTAAATAAAAAATTTTGTGTATTAAAAATAGTTTCAAAATTACAATATTAAATTTTATTACAAGAAAAAATGGAAACTCTCTTGAGATGCTCTTCACGTGCACAAATCCTCTTATTAATCAAATCTAAATCTTGTTTTAGATGGGAAAATATTCACACGAGTTTGAAAGCTTTTATCGTGTGAAATCTTAACTTGATATGATTTGACTTCGTGAAAAATAAAAACTATTCACATAACCCTAAACATTTTAACCGTGTGAGATCTCAACTTGAATTGATTTGATGAATGACTTGACTTGACATGATGAAGATTATTCACACGACCCTGAAAACTTTAATTGTATGATATATTAACTTGATTTGATTTGATAAAGGAAAGAACTTTGATCCTTTGCTTCCTCAATTTGATTTGATGAAGAGAAAACTTTAATGAAGATGAAGATTATTCATACAAGCCTAAAATCTTTAACCATGTGATATCTTAACTTGATTTCATTTGTTAAAGAAAAAGATTTTGATTCATTACTTCATTGATTTGATGAAGAAAAATATTTTGATATTATGCTTCCATGATGGACTTTAATTTCTTTAAGAGAACTTCCAAGTATTTGTTCTTAGTTTTTAGGCTTTACATGTTGTTCTTATTGTGCTTCTTCTTATTGTTATTTTTTTTATGCATGCTATGTTTGATTTGGTGGCTTTATTGTCTATTTATATACTAACCAGGTATAATATAAATAAAATTTCTTCTATTTAAAGGAAATTTTAGGAAAATTAATATGAAAATTTCTTAAAATACCCTTAGTTAAAAGGATATTAAAGTAAGAAGTAAGAACCATAAAATATATTTGTGTCATAACCCATTTTTGGGTTATTCTCCAATTCACATTTTTTCTCTTTTCAAAAAATAAAAAAATATTATCAAAAAATATGTTCTCCAATTCACATTTTTTCTGTTTTTAAAAAATAAAAAAATATTATCAAAAAATATAAACAATGAAAAAAGGATGTCAGACCGCTTAGAAAATGGTCAAAAATAGATTTAGGAAGTCTAAAAATATAAAGATTAAAATTTGGTGATATTTTATTAATTGATAAGAGCGTTGTTAATGAAAAATCAATTTCAGGAAGAAAAGGCAAAAATCAGATGTTTATGGACTCAATTAAATTTTATTAAAAGATTAATTAAATTTATAAAGGTTTTGATCTCAAGAAAAATTGATTTTGGTGTTAATTTGGGCTTTAATTGGAAGGAATTAAAGTTCTAGGGTCAAATTATAGTTTTTGAGAGTTAATTTGGTCAAATCAGGAGTTTAATTACATAAATATTAAAGTTTGATGGCAAATTAGGAACTTACTGAAGAAATCTGAAACCAATGACCAAACTGAAAAAGGCGCGTAAATAGAGGGGCTATAACTCAACAAAATCCAACATTTGTGTAGTTAACGACACATGCACCAACCCCGATAGTGATGGAGGTATCTGCTAACGAGTCCCATAAGATTAAGTCATCCGATAGCATTAATCAAGTTAAGATAGAGGTGTTGGAAGCTAGACTCAGTCATTGAAGAGGTAGACTTATATGACCCAATACATGTGTCACAACCCATTTTTAGGACCCCCATATGAAAAATAATAAAATATAAAAAATATAAAAATATTATCAAAAAAATATAAAAAGTGCAAAAAGGATGTCAGCGCATCCAAAAATAGGTAAAAATTGGTTGAGGAGGTTAAAAAATACAAAGATTAAAATTTGACGGCATTTTATTGACTTGTTGATAAAGAAAATTCAATTTGAGTAAGAAAGTCCAAAATCAGATGTTTATAGACTCAATTAAATTTTATTGAAGGTTTAATTGAATTTATGGAGAGTTTGATTACAAGAAAAATTGATTTTGGAGTCAATTTAGACTTTAATTGGAAAAAATTAAAGTTCTAGGGTCAAATTATAATTTTTAGAAATTAATTTGGTCAAATCATGGGTTTAATTGTATAAATATTGAAGTTTGATTACTAATTAGGGACT